ACTGCCAATCGTAGATGTGCTTACCTCTACTGAAAGCAAGGAGCTATACTGCCTCTCACCACTGCACCTGCTACAACCTGGACTCATAAAATGTGTGCCTGCACTCTTCCCCTCTCCTCACAGGGCTTATGTCCAAATCAACATGTCATGTGGCAAAACCTAAGCCACATATCTGTACCAGAAGCAAGGAAAGCTGAGAAATGTCTAAACACACATATGGGCGTGCACACACACATACACACACACTCGTTGTGAATGTCCTTAAAAAGTGGAGAGACTGTGTAAAGACTTTTGGGAAGTTGGGATGGTAGGTAGACACCACAAGCTGTGGCCTGGGTACCTTAGAAAAATTAATTCGCACAGAGCACCCTACTGTGTATGGGAAATGACAGGTTCCGTGGTGGGCCTCCCTCAACAGCATCAAGCTTGGTTAGTTTCAGACAGAATGGAGAAGTAAGAAATGTATCCGTTCTAGGTTCTTCACTCAGCCAACCAAAACCACAATCACCCTCTATTTATTTTTAAGATATGAAAAGAGATTTGAGTCAACCAGAGCACTCTTTTGAATATTATGCTACTAGTCCATTTGGAACACTGTGAAAGACACAAACAATCACACGTATGGCTTTTAATCTTGATGGGGAGCCAGGAAAACATATATTTACGTCAGTGTTATAAGCACAGCAGAGTCCTATCTAATAAGCATCAAATGAATAGTATAGACCAGGGGCCTAGGAGCTCAGAGGCCAGACAGCTGTGGTTGGGGTAGCGGGAGGCAGGACCAGAACTGGGCCTTGAATGATGAGTAAGGCTTTCAGACAGTGGAGAGGAAGCAGTAGTGCCAGAGGGTGGTTCGGAATGAGGTGCACTATGCTTGGAGTGGGTGGAGGGCAAGTACCTAAACAAGATCCATGCCAGAGATAGTCAGCTGTAAGTCTGGAAGCAGTGTGGGGTTAGAGTAGAATAATTGTAGGTGACAGCAACAGAAACTTGAGTTGGAACCACACTTTGGAGAATCTTGACTGCTTCATGGATTAGTCAGGACTATTTTAGTTTAGGGATAGATTTATCCAATCAAGTTAAGATAAAAGGGGATTTAACATTTCATCTCATTAAAAAGGCCCAGGGCATGAGTCTGACAACTGACTAGATCCAAGTGCTGAAAAGATATCGTCAAGATTCAGTCTCTCTCTGCCTCTTGGTACTGGATTATCTGTGTTAGTTTCACTTCCCAGCAGGCTTTCTCCATGTAGTGGTTGATCCCTGGCAACTCAAGGCTTACATCATCTCAGAGCTGCAATCTCTTAACAAACACTTCCCGCAGAACTCGGGAGGCTTGTTGACTGGCTCAGCCTGGGTCATGAGCAACTGTCTTCTTGCTCTACCAGGACAATAACCGTGGCCAGGGAATGCAGGGTTTCTCACTGATCGGGTCTGGGACATGATCGAAAGGGCAATTTCAGCTCCTACTCCAGTGATGATCACTGGATGGTGTGAATGCGCTGTCTCTCCCCTCGATGCAGGCAGCAGTTTAGTTCCTAAAATTTCATGTCAAAGGTACTAAGAGAGCGGAAACTCAGTGGAATTCGGGGTTTAGAGGAGGGTGTCTTTGCCAAGTGGTTAGACTAGAGAAGGTCATCAAGGTGGAGCCACTGTGATTGACTCTTGGTGGCTTTTTAAGGAAAGAGAGAGAGACCACACAGAGACACTTTTCTTGTCTCTTGCTGCACCGTGCTCTGTGCAGCCTTAGTGTAGAGGAGGCTCCAAGACCTTGTGCTTCCAGAAGGATGAGTCAAAAATAAACCCCCTGGGCCAGGGATTTAGCTCAGTGGTTCTGCCGCCTGCCTCGCAAGCACAAGGTCTGGACTTTGATCCCCAGTACCAAAATAATAATAATAATAATAATAATAAATGAATAAAAATAACCCCCCTTTCCTTATAAGTAGTCTGATACAGGTGTATTATTGTAGGAGTGAAAAACAGACTACTACAGAGAAGATGCTGTTGGTGCCTGCTGTAGTGTGAACGTCCCCTCCAAAACCCATGTTGGAATTAAATAGCCATTGACAGTACTAAGAAGTGGGCTTTTAAGAGGTGGTTAAGCCACAAGGGCAGAGTCCATTATGTCAAGAGTGTTAGTGAGGGAGTAGGTTTTTGATAAAGGAACAGTTCACCTAATTTGCTCTGCTTGCTCATGCTCATCCGCCTTTCTGCCCACGTTAGGACCCAGCAAGGAGGCTCTCGGCACCATGCTTCAGCCTCTCAATCCTTGAGCCCAGTGAACTTCTACTGTTTATAAATTCCAGGTATTCTCTTAAAGTATCAGAAAACGGACTAAGACCGTGCTCCATCCTTATCCCCTTGACCCGTTCCATTTCCATGGATGCCGGTCCAATTTCCAACTGTTAACACCTGTGTCACGTGGTCCAAGGGCTTCCTCAGACCCACTCCAGAGAGCCCACTCCAGATAGGCCCTGAAGGCCAGCATGCTGGGGCGTTAACACCACCTACCAGCAGTTCTCAACAAGGGGCTGACAGAGTTGGCTTATAAATGCAATCCTCTTGTCTCAGGGTGAGGGAATAACTCAGGCTCATTTCTATTGTGTTTCTCAGGGTTCCCCAGTGGAATTAAATTCCAGTTGCTCTGAGTGGTCCCTTGAATGAAAATACACTTCTTATTTACTTCCTTCCTTTCTTCCTCATTTCTAGTTCCCTAGCGGTGTCTCCTGGGATCACCTCCCATATAAAGTACTTGCCCTTGAATCTCTGTCTTGGTCTGATTTTGGTGAATCTGAGTTAAGATATTCCCTAATAGAAGACCAGGCACTGTTGCCACAGTAAAGGGGATGGACACTGGTTAGGCAGAAATAGTGTCATTTTCTTTTGGTTAAAAGATTTGGGCTTTTCCATTGTCCTAGTGTTTGTTTGCCTCTCCCTAGGGTGGGTAGTGAGTCCCTTGAAGGGAAGGACACAGCTTGTTCACTGACACTGCATTGAGCTACTGAGATCTGGGCTTGCAGCAGAGCAGTTATTAGCTCTCCTATTATGAACAGGTCATTCCAATCAAGGGAGGGTGATAGTGGAGCCAGAGTCCTGTCTATAATTTGCTCCCCATAAAGTGAAAGTGAACAGAAGAGGTCACAGACATTGGGGAATTGGGAGAGAGCTGATTTTTCAGGGGGAGTTTGAGCCACTTCTAGGAGTAAAGGTTCAAAGACACATGATAGTTAGAAAGAGGCCAAGCCTGGGACTTGGTAGGAGTCTGTCCTCCGAGAAGGGTTTGCTGAAGCCATGGGGGCAATGACCAAGTTGAGGAAGAGCTTGTGAAGGGAGAGTGGGGTGGGATCTGGGCCTGCATCTTGGAAACTTTCCAGAGTTAAGAGATCACAGGAGGAGCTAGTGAAGAGGGTATGAACCACAGGAGACCCAGGCCATGTGCTCTCTGCTGCACCAGGAGCTCTGAGCCTGGAGCTCTGAGCCTGAGAGTGGGGGTGTGCAATCTCCAGGGGAGATTGGGGAGCTGTTCCTGAAGCCAGCATGGGGAGGACTGAGGTGGTAACCCTGCAGCTTTTCCAGAGGGATGAGGGTCTCGCCAGTTTGTCCAAAAATATCTTTTCCTGATTCTCCAGGATAGAAATATACCATTATCGGCTTTCGATCTCAGCTTCTTGTTTAAGGGCTAGAAAATCTTGTAGCTATAACCATCTTGGCACCAGAGAGGTTAAAAGGTCAAAACTATAGTATACAAAGAGATAAAGCATGGGACCTAAGGTCTGTCACAAACATCTTGGAGTACTAGGCTCTGAGCTAAGTGTTTTCTTGGGTAATCCCATTTTATTACCCTCATCACCATCGCCAGTCTCCATATTGCAGAGAAAAAAACTGAGGTCCACAGAGGTTAAAGGAATTTTTTCAACCAATGATACATGCTGCTAAGGGCCAGATCAGAAACTTGATCTGAATGGTTTGGCTTCTAAGCTTCTAAGGATGGATCACTTGGGGGGAACTGAGGCAGTACCTAGGAGACACTGGCTTTTGGAAGAGAGACACACAGTGGACTTCTGTATTGGTTTGAGGATCTGGCAATAGTCTTCAATTTAGGACAATCAGTGACCCCTTCAAGCAGGTGAGGGAAGGGTTCTAGAAACTTCATTCAAATCATGCTAAAATTTTAAGATAGAGAGATGGATAATGAATAGCTCAGTTTTTCCTTCCCTGCCTATATTGGCCAACTATCTTGTTGCTCGGACAAAATACCCAACATCCACAATTTATTTGTTTAGGTGTTTTTTTTTTTAAACAGGATCTTGCTACGTAGTTCAGGTTGGCCTTGAACTCACTATGTAGCCCAGGCTGGCCTCAAACTTGGGGTGATCCTCCTGCCTCCACGTCCCAAGTGCTGAGATGACAGGGATCCACTATCATGCCAGGGTTCCAACATCCACAAATGAAAGGAGAGATTTATTTTGGCTCACAATTTTGAAAGGATTCGGTCCGTGGTTGGTCGGCTCCAAGTCAGACAGGTCATGGAGGAAGGGCCTGGTAGAGGACAGCTACTCATCTCACAGCAGGAAACAGAGAGAAAAGAGGAGCCAGGAGGGAGATACAGCCTTCCCAGTCATGTCCCCAGTGACCTTTTGTCTTACCAGGCCCCATGAACTTACAGCACTTCAACTTTGAACTCATCAGTGGATGAGTCTAGCGCCTCCCCATGATCCAATCACCTAAACACATGAGGCTTTTGAGAGGCATTTTAGATCTAAACTATAACTCTGTCCATTACTTCCTGCTGTGCTCTGGCCCAGCCAGCTCACTAGAGAACTTTCTTGGAGAGGCAGCTGCACCGGCTCTGGGTGCTCTTGAAGGCTGTTATTCTGTGGACCCCTTCAGGGGCTTTACCTAGATCCCCTACCTAAAATGGTAGTCTCGCACCCCCTCAGCACCTTTATTTTTTTCGTAGCACATGATTTACACTGTTTATGTATTTATGCCTCCCTCAGTGAAACAGAAGATCCAGAAGAACAGGGTTTCATTTTGTTTGGAGTTGGATTCCCAGACCCTAAAACTGTGCTTAGCACATAATAAATGCTAATACATATTTGGTTTTTTTGTTTTTGTTTGTTTGTTTTTGGTACCGGGGATCGAACTCAGGTCCTTGTGCTTGTATGGCAGGGGGCAGAACCACTGAGCTAAATCCCCGGCCTAAAACATATTTGTTGAATTACACTATTTTTTAGCATTGTGCTTGGTCTGCCCATGCATTATCTCACTGAGTCCTCAAAAGCCCACATTTGTTTGCCCACACTGGTCCTTGAGCCAATTTCAATGTGTTGGAAAATAGGAGGGCAGAACCAGAGGTGCCCATGCCCCCCCCCGCCCCATTCTCCCCTCAGGCCTTGGGTGTAAGAAGCCCTCAGAAGAGACCAGGCAGAGTTAACAGGCTGTGAAATTCACAAGGCCAGGTGTCTGGGGAGGTTCCACCCTGGCTGCTGTTAATGGCACCATCTGATTTCAGCAGCTTCACACCTCTCTTGGTGTACAAGTCCTTGGGGGAACAGGACAATCACAGAATCTACTTTCCAAAAACTTAGAACAAGTGAAAGAAGAGAGAGCCATCCTCGGAGGAGGGCCTGAAGTTTGGGCCTTGCTCTCTTCTTCTCGTCCTCTCTCTACTGCCTTCTACCGCTTGGGGTTCTGGGGAAAGGAGGACCATGACCTGGCCCGAAGCTGCTCACAGAAGAACTGGAGTTCAAGATCCAGCTCTCAGCCAGCGGAAGGCTCCTTTTCTAGGCTGGGCCTTTTTAAATGGACAGAGGAAATTTCACTGTGTCGTACCCCAAGACCTCGTAGCTTGTCCCCTATATATCTCTATAGTATTTAAAACTCTGGGGACAAACAAGGCTAAGAATGGCCCCTCTGACTTCTGGGATGAATGTTTATGATTGTAGCAAAGCTTCAGCACTGACGCACCACGCAATGTAGCTCACTTTCCACTTGCCTCCCGATTTTGTCCATCCTTTCCTTTTTCCTGGCCTGAAGTTCACTCACTATTCATCTAAAATAAACTTCCTTCTCTTCTGTCTGCTTTTTGGTGAATTAACAAGCATATGATAAGTGCATATGGAAGACCTCATGAAAGTGAAGCCATGTTCATAACTGGGTAAGACAGAAAAATAGAGAAAGCCCTTCCCCTTGTAGGGCATACAGTCCAGTAGCACAATAGTTTCTTCAGCCTATGGTGTAGGCCTTGTTCCGTGTTCCATGTTCCGAGTGTATCCTGCTGTGGCCTCTAGATGTATGTGGCAGAAACACATCCATGGCTTGTTAGAAAGATAAAAACCCAACACAAGCATCCAAAGTGCCTCCTCCCTCCTCCCTGTGCTTACCACCCCATGCACCATTCCTTCCTTCCTGCTTTATCCTGGAGCCTGCATTTCTGTGTTGTGAGCCCAAGACTCAGGAGGGGCTCTTTTGGACTGTTGTATGGCCAAGACTCCAGCTGGGGGACATTTCCAGGGACTGCCTGCTCCAAGAGGGGGTTCACTGGACAACAAGTCTATCTTCATCCGGCTCTGGGCTCACTCTCCGGACCTCCAGGGTGGCAGACTTGGCAGGTGGGAAAAAGGATCATCCTGGTAAACACCGTGCTCTTCCTGCAGGGGCTCAGTGCTGCTCAGTGGGTTTGCTGTGTGGTTTGGATGAGCCTCCCAAGAATTCTGCCTTTTGTTATTATACTATCAGCTGTTGCCTCATACTTTAAGGCTCCCGACGTCACTGTTTATATATTCAGCAGCATGCAGCTCTGTGAGCTTGTGTATACAGGAGCCTGCCAAATGTTTGGAGAAGGAGGAGGAGGTGAGAGTGTGCAAACATTTGTCTATGTGGGAATTGGATTCACTTTTTATCTAGGAAACGGGTCAGAGGTTCCCAGCTTGGGGACCAGCACTCCAGGACTTGTGTGGACACCAGTATAAGGTGGCTCAGGGTTGGCTAAGGGGCACGATTCTGCACATCTGTCCTGGCTTGAGTCTTCCCTTTCCCAGAGGAGCATTATGACACAATTTTTTTTTCCAGTACTGGGGTTTGAACTCAGGACCTTGCACTTGCAAGGCAGTTGTTGGCACCACTGAGCTAAATCCCCAGCCCCTATCGATAATAATTTAATTTTAGGCATGCATGCCTATAATATCTTTCTTTCTTTTTGGGGGGATTACCGGGGATTGAACTTGGGTCCTTGTGCTTGAGAGGCAAGCCACAGAACCACTGAGCTAAATCGCTGGCCCTACAATATCTTTCTGATAAAAGGTTGACATATTATTAGCCCGAAAGGAATAAATACAACTTTCCCCAGTGCTTGTATTACATTTCCAGACAGAGCTTGCAACTTTATTCTCTGGAATATAAATCCTTGTATAAGAAAGCAGAACCTGTCACTACAAGCAATGCCTTAACATCTGATCCTACTCCTATACCTTGGAACTCTTTGTGAGGTATGTGTGTATGTCTTTGTGTGTCTTCATACATGCACATAGAGGGGTTCTTGTAATAGTATTTGGTGCATCTATATTTCAAGTGAGTATAAAAGAGACCATTTCTGGAAACATCTGTCCTTCTTTAGATACCCAGGCATTATTTGCCAGTGGTCATCAGTGTTCCCAGTTCTTGCTTTTTGAATATGTGATACTGAACAGAAAGTCCCTAACTTTGTATATCAGAAGTTCAACTATAAATGCTTACTAGGACTGGGTTACTATTTTCTCATAAAACAGTATGGTAAAAAAATATGTATGGTAGCTGTGAGGTTTAGTTCAGCCCTGAAACTTGATTAACTCCATGTATACTTGAAATAATGCGTATAGGGAATGAACATGTTCCTGCCAGCTTGAACTGCTGATGGTACATGCGTGACTGTCCCATTGAGCAGCTTGCACCTCTTGATGGGACTGTCTCATGCTACACGATGGGACAGTCATGCGTGTGTCACCAGTGCTTCAGAGCCACCAGGAATTTTAGACAGGAATTTCAGCCTTATTGTAAACGTGTTAACGCAAGTATGAAGCACTATTTTTTTCACCATCCGTGCTTAAATAGAACACTATAAAACTACGTAAGAAGTTGTTTTTAATTACCATGGATGCTGGAGAAAAGGCTGAGCAGCTTGTGTTAGAAATGGAGGTAGTGAAGACATTATGAGAATTCTGGATGGGACCTATGGATATTCTATGGGATTTGAGTGTTGATGGTCCTGTTTCTTGAACGTGGTTAATTTGGCTCTTATGTTTATGACATTCTTGTCTTTCTCTGAGACATCTTTAGCTCTCTGTTTAAGTTGGCCACGTGTGACTTGGGCTTGGGATTTTTCTCCCAAGTGCAATATTGTGAAGGAAGAAAGAGAGACCCAGTTCCCTCTGAAATCACTATGTATGCATCAGAATAGGGCTAACTTCCTGTGTGGGTCAGTAGGGATGCTGTTGGTATGTGAATCTTCTGGCAGTTATGTTCTGGGGGGAAGAGAAGGGAAGCAGATGTAAAGGTCCAGCTAGGTAGCTCAAACCCTACCGACAGCACAGAGCCCTGAGTCTTTCCTTGAATCTTCCTTGAGTTTTCCTTGAGAGACACCCACATGTCAGTGTCATCTTGTCTGCCCAACCCTAGGTAAATACCCATAAAGAAATACCCTGCTGGCTAGAGGAGGGACCCATCTGTTCTGATACCCTTTCAGAACACAGATCCTGCCAGGACCTCAGAACAGCTTCACAGATGAAGGCAAAGCTCTTTGGGGTATCTGGTCAACCCCGTACATTTAAGGAGCAGGAAAGGATGGGCAGAGTGAGTGGGTAGAGAGTGATTGGCGAGCACCTCAATGGGGAGCGATGGGGTCTGGAGCAGTGGGTGGGTGTCTTAGCGGATTTCAAATGGACTGTGAGCTCCTCTTGTCTAAAGGCAGAAGTGTGTGTGAGAAACCTGTCCTGAGGTAGGCCGAATGAGGGCCCGGTAATAAAGTGGGAAAAGGAAAAACGTGACATGGCAAGACTTCCCTAAGAGAAGACAGGATGATGGGGATGAGGTGTGGTCATTCTCTGTACCACCCACGGGGACTCTGGGCCTACCCTGGCTTGGTTACTGGAAGCAAATGGAGTGGTACTGACCTGGCATCACGAACTTACTGTTCGCCCGAGGCAAACAGATACTTGGTTTGGAGAAGTTGCGGTTGATGAGCACTGTCCGAAGACGGCACAATCTCTTCCTTCACTTCTTAAAGTTGATCCTTGAATCACATCAGCTATTCATCCAAATTATGTGGTTTTGGCCTTCTATGGAGATGCTTTTCATAAATGCTCCCTTGATAAGAAGCAACCAACCTGCATTGAGGGATGTTTTAAGTCACAAATTTGGGAGCCTCCTTGTCATATTTATGATGAGAGTATTATTTTCTTTATGAGAATCAGTGAAAGAAATTTCTCTTAGGTCTTTGTTCCAGGAATAATTGTGCTTCTCTTCAACACTGGTTTATGCACACACAGATCATATAACAGACCGTGCCACTTTTTTTCTTTCTCTTTACCTGCTGGGAAGCTCATATTCAAATTGGCAGCTATATATTGAGCAAATATACAGACCCTCCTCACTACCTGCATAACTGAAATTTCATTCTTGGCATCTTCATCTTTTTTTTTTTTTTCCTTTCTGGTTTCCTCTTTTTCTTTACTTCTTCATTTACCCATTGTTTTGCTTTCATTATGTTACATGCAATTTTTTTTAAAGCCATCTTAAATTATTTCGGGAATAAGGTGGTTAAATAAATAAATACAAAGGTAGTGAGGAGGCACTGGCTCACACCAGTTCTGAGTGTGGTTGGGTGGCTTTGAACAACAGGCTATTCATAAGTACAGGATATTTGGAAGACTGATGTTAGAAACTCTGGAAGTACCTGCACTATTTATAGTTGCATTTTTAAGCAAATTCTTGAAACTGTGTGGTGAATATGTGCCATTCTAACTGGAAAGGCAATTATCAAATTCCTCAGTAATCCATTTGTCCATAGTATAGAAGTACCTTT